CCTGGTATGTACAGAAGATAAGTGTTTGTTGAATGAGTGAATACAGTTTATAATAACACTAGTTACCGTGACCAGATCCTGTGCTAGGCGCTTAGTAATTCCCTCATTCCGTCATCTTCACAGTGTTTTGAGGTACACAGCAATCTCTCTGTTGGAAAGACGAGGAAACCAAAGCTCAGAGGGTTAGCGAACTCAGGTGGAGGCACACACTCTCCCATGGCAGAGTGGCGTGGAATGCAGATCTGGCTGCTCCAGGGGCCAGGAGCTTTCCACCGTAGGAGACTCCTTTGTCCTCATGGTGGTCTCTCACTGTGCTGACACCCCTCTGCGTCTTGGGCACCATTTATTTCCCCCACTGCAGGAACCACAGTGCTGGTGCCCTGAGCCAGCATTGCTCCAAGTGGGCTCCTCTCCCAGTTTGCATCCCTTCTGGTGACCCAAACCCTGCAATCAGAGAAGCCAAATTGTTCCTTCCCTGCCTCACTGCCTCTACTGTGGGCGCTCTAGGTTATGGTATAAATGAGCAGGCCCACAGGTTTTCTTTCTTTCTCCTGCAGCCCCATTCTCCCAAAGGGAGGTTGGTTGCTCCCTGAGAACCTTCTGCAGACCGGCAAGGTGGAATTACAGCAAGAACCCAGGAGATTCGGGTTCATGCTCAGGATCTGCGGCTCACTAGCTATGCCATGACTTTGGGCAAGTCTTTTAACTTGTGCATTGACACAATGAAAGGAATTCTTCTTTCTTTGTGGTTTGCCTACAGTACTGTGATGATGGCAAATGGAGAATCTGTCTCATGGGGGTGTTGTGTAGATGCATGAGCCAATTTGATTATCATACTTAGCACCGTGCCTGACAGATAAGGCTTAATAATTGTTGGCTGATCTTGTCATCAGTCATGAGTAGCCCGGGAACTGGCAGGGTTTGCAGTCAGCTGGTAGGATGTGTTGTGGGTGTGGATTGTAGCTAACCACTAACTCCAATCACCCTCCAATCTAAACTTTCCTAGAGCTTCAGTCCTCAGAGTTTAGAATTCCTTGTTCAAGGTCACATAGTCATGACTTTTATAAGGCCTTGATTGGGACGCTTTTCAGAATACCTAACCTCTTTAGTCAGTACACTATATTTCTGCTGGGAGGTAACTGTTGCCATCTCTGCTGGGTTACACAATTTGAGGAATGATTTGCACAAGCATCAGTTGCCACCAAGACCAAGGCATGAGGCATAATTATCTCAGGTGGAAGCTGTGATTGAGCCTGTGCACTGAGGCCTGGTTTGCAGGGGCTACAAATGAGCTACCACCTCCAGAGCGCTATGTGCCTGCTAGATGCTGGGGCTGTAATTCACCGGAGCCTGTTTGCAAACACCCATTCTCCAAGTTCCAGTGGGTCAAAAGTCCCGACTCTGGTGAACGTCAAGATCCCTGCAGAGGGACTTCCCTGGTGGCGCAGAGGGACTTCCCTGGTGGTGCAGTGGTTAAGAATCCGTCTGCCCATGCAGGGGACACAGGTTTGAGCCCTGGTCGGGAAGATCCCACATGCCTCAGAGCAACTAAGCCCTTGTGCGACAACTACTGAGCCTGCGCTCTAGAGCCCACGAACCACAACTACTGAAGCCCGTGCGCCTAGAGCCCGTGCTCCGCAATGAGAAGCCACCTCAATGAGAAGCCCACGCACCGCAATGAAGAGTAGCCCCGGCTCGCCACAACTAGAGAAAGCCTGTGCGCAGCTACGAAGACCCAATGCAGCCAAAAAAAGAAAAAGAAAAATCCCTGCAGAGTCTGTGGCTGAACTGAGTGAGACCTTCCCATTGTCTAAGGCTTCATTTATAGTTTTCAAGGGAATTCCCTTTACTGGCTTTGCTATCTAGTTGTGGTATAGTACGTATGATTTGGAGTAATCCATCTGCCATCAGTCCCCCGACATCTCCTTGCTCTCCCACCCACATGGTTTCACCCAGGAAGATCTAGTTCTGTTTGTGCCTGAAGGGGAAGGAGACCAGGGATCCAGGCCTTCCTTTTCTGTCATGTGAATGACCATAAGCAACAGGAGAATTCATCTCTTGCCCTCACCATGGCCAATGTCTGCTCTACACATGGGCCCAGAGGCCACACTTTCAGTACTTCTGAGAAGTTGATGATGGCATCTATGAAATGGGAGGTCTTTCATCCTGAGGCAAGGGTACAAGTTCTGCCAGCCCTTTGTACCATCTGGAAACAATGCTGGGAATCATATTTGCAGGTCCAGAAATGTTATTTGATTGTTCCATGGCATGAAAGACTTAATTTGAGGCTTAGTGGAGAGAGCAGACTAAAGAAGATTTAGGAAACATGGCCCACAAGGGCAAAAAGTGCTGAGTTTGAGTAAAAATACACATTCTACACGTAGTCAGCACTCTGACAACACTGGGGGTGGGCAGAGCTGGGACCAACGTTCACAGATAATTCTCCAACTTTATTTTACCCTCCCACAGGCCAGGGTCTTGTCATAATTACCTTGCTTATACAACCCTTGTTTGCATCTCCAGAGAGACAGTCATGTTTGGAAGAAAGAACACGAGTCCCCAAGCCTGAAAGGAGTCCCAAGAAGAAGGAAATGTAAGACAGTGAAAAGTGTGGAGGTTTTTTTTTTTTTTTTTTTTTTGTGGTATGCAGGCCTCTCACTGCTGTGGCCTCTCCTGTTGCTGAGCACAGGCTCTGGACGCGCAGGCTCAGCGGCCATGGCTCACGGGCCCAGCCGCTCCGCAGCATGTGGGATCCTCCGCGGCATGTGGGGCACGAACCCGCGTCCCCTGCATCGGCAGGCAGACTCCCAACCACTGCGCCACCAGGGAAGCCCCAAAAGTGTGGAGTTTTGACTAAGTCAGACTTCAGTTCCAATCCTTGTTATATCATATACCATCTATGAGAATTTTACAGCTTCTCTGAGTTTCAGTGTGCATAGTTCAAGATGGTACAGATAATATCTATCCTGTTAGATTGTTATAAAAATCATTAAAACATATGTAAAGCATTGAAAAGCTGGCTTATATTACGTATTGAATAAATGGCAAGTATTAATATCTGTAAAATGGAGGTATTTCGTAATACCCACTTTGCAATACGGTTGTGAAAAGTAGGGGGGAAATGCTTTTGGCCTATAGCAGATGTTTAATAAATGGTAGTTGTTAGTCCTGTCTTGCTGTGAAATATATGTCTGACTTTCAGCAAAGTCACCTCTGCTGACAGTGAAATGGGAAGTATTTCTACTCTACTCACTCCCATAAGGACTGCAGTGGCAACTGGCAATAATCACACATGCCTCACTTGATTTTTGGAGTTGTGATAAATAAAACCACATACAATATATTGGAAGCCAGACACAGGGAACAATGTACTAGAATGAAACACATTGGGAGGCAAGGGACTTGGGTTCTAGTCTTAGTGCTGTCTTTTGCCAAGTGACTGTAAGCAAATTGCCAAGTAATCAGACCCTCAGGCGCACACACTGCTGACCTCTCCGCAGCTGTGAGAAAATGCAAATGTGAGAAATTATCACTATTGCTCCTTGAGGGTAAAGACGGTTTTCCCTTTTTAATCTTTGGAACCCAGCAAAGTCCTTGGCATATAGTGGGTACCCAATACTTTTGTTTAATGAATTATAAATTGCCCAGAAATCATATTTTTAATCATCAGTGAACTTTTTTACCCATAAGCTTATAACCTTTGGTCTCACTGCGATTGGTTGGATCCCTGGGCCTGTGTCCCAAAGTATTTGTATTCCATGCTAACCCTAACATACTCAGGTATGTTATTCAGACGCAACTGAAAGCACACACACCCACAAAACCAGCAGTAAAGAGAGAAGAAAGCAGCTCTTCTGTATATGGCAGCTGTAAGGGGACGGTTTCATAATCCTACACCCAGTTCTGGTTTGGTTACCACTCCTCTAGATTCCTTATTCCTCTATGTACCCATTCTACAGAATTCATCCCCAGAGTGAAGGTGGTAGCCACTGCAGAGGCTCAAGCTGCTTTCGAAGATGACTCTTCATGGGTAGTTAAGAATGTGAAAGATGCCTTACAGTTCTCCTCCTAATGGGAGATGGCAGGTGGCAAGTGGCAAGCAGAAACACGGATGAGAGTGCGGGGCTTCCTGGTGCCAAGGGAGAGCCCTTGAAGATTTCTTGGCAGCAGAGAACATCACACGTGCCCTCCACACTACATACCGTTCCAGAATTGTTAAAGTATTTGGTCTCTGGGCTTCCCTGGTGGCGCAGTGGTTGAGAGTCCGCCTGCCAATGCAGGGGACATGGGTTCGTGCCCCGGTCCGGGAAGATCCCGCATGCCGCGGAGCGGCTGGGCCCGTGAGCCATGGCCGCTGAGCCTGTGCGTCCGGAGCGGGAGAGGCCACAACAGTGAGAGGCCCGCGTACCGCCAAAAAAAAAAAAAAGTATTTGGTCTCTGAGGGCTTTAGTAGATGAGGAAAGCTTGTAGAGATTGAGAGAAGGGAAATGGAGAAGACCAAAATGCTAACAGTCACCATCATTACGTGTGCACTGTAATAAACTGCCCTGGACCAAGGGCACTGGCAAAGGTTGGATGTTTTCCAGATCTGCCATGTATCATGTCTTCCCATCTTACTGAGGAGCATCTATGATCTTAAGTAATTTTTAATACCATCTCCCACCCACAACTCTTCTTCCTTTTTTCCTTCCCCTCTTCTCCACCCACCCCATTGTTTCTCCCTCCCTACCCTGAAGTCCGACTAAAGGTAACCTCAGGCAAGCCTCACCCAATCACCCCAGCTGGGTTGGGTGTCCCTCTGTAGCCTTCAACTCACCGCACTGTAATTTCTGGTTTATTTACTTACTGTCCAGTTCTGAAAAGTAGGACCTTTATCTTGTTCAGCATTTAATCCCCAAATACCCACACAGTGCATCACACAAAAGATGCTTAACAAATGTTTATTAAGTGTACCAGGTTATACTTCTAATTTATTGCATTTCCCCCCCCCCCCCCCGCCCCAGCTACTACAATAACTAAGCAAACAGAGTTAAATGTCAGTCTTTTTTCTTTGCACAGTAGACAAAAACTGTTGGAAAGCTAGATACCAATCAGCTATATTTTTCCCTGGTACCAGATCATCATACTGGTGAGTTCCTTCAAACCATTTAAGTATAGCATTCAGTGCTGCATAATTTGTTCAAGATCACAGAATAAAATGTAAAGTTTTTCAATTAATTTTACAAAAGCAGCAAAACTCTACAACAAAATCCTACAGGAAAAAGTAGACCAATCTCATTTATAAACATGAATTTAAGTGTATTAAACGTAACAAAACTTACCAAGATACAAAACCTAAATCCTAGTTACACAAATACAACTGCTATAGAAATAACGACCTTCTCCCCACCTAGTCTACTTATGACTCAGACAGTAGCTTTTATACCCAACTTCCCCCCGCCCCACCTCTGGCTGGCCCTCACCAGGGGTGGATGCCGGCCCCAGCATTAGCATTAGCCCTGGCCCTAGCCCTCACACTGCCCCTGTCAGCCTCGTCTGCCAGGGCCTCACGGTACTGCACTGGCCAGTGTTGGGGTTCTTTCTTATGGAGCTTGGCCACGAACCCCAGGACTTTCATCTTGCTGGTTTCCAGGTCGCTTCGGGGACCCCAAGAGAATTCACATGCCGGTGGATTGGTGTGAGAAACAAGCCGGTAATTGAGGTATCTCAGCTGCACGAAATCTTCCATAATAAGCCTCCTCGGGCACCCAAAGAGGGGGTGATACTTTGAGGGACGCACCTTCAACCGACACAGCATCTCCCAGACCTGTGCCTCCCTGGCGCTATTACCTTTCATGTAGATAAAGCCCAACATCATCATTAAAAGACCCAGTCTGGGGCCATCTCCTCCTCCTCCTCCTCAAGAGGTTTTAGTTTGTTGGTCAGGATATAAGTGTGGTGCTTGCGGTCAAGCTGTTTCAGCTTGAAACCAAAGACATACGGCAGATGCTCTGCGGCCCTTGCGATGATCTCAGGGAACAGATCCTTTAAGTCTCTGATAATGTATTTCACCATCTCGGAGAGGGTGATAGGACTCTTCTTCCTGTCCTTCACCAGCAGAAACTGCACCAACTCGGCCACCGTCTGATCCAGACGGAGACGGGCCTCGCGCCGGGCCAAGGTTTTGGCTGCCAAAGCCCTCGCACTTTCAGGGTGATGGAGGGCTCCGCAGCCTCCTCCTCCCTTACAGCACCAAGGTCCTCCTCGAGGCTCTCTTGCAGGAGGGGGCTCGGGGCCACCTCCTGCGAGGCGGTCAGGGCCTGGGTCTCACTGTCGTGGCCACCATCCATCTCCCCCTCCGCCCGAGGGATAGGGAGACAGACCCCCGCTCTCTGGTTTCTACAACATGTTTTCGGGCAGGCAGGTGCAAAGCGCGTACACTGGCCGAGGGGAGTGCAAGCCGCTGCACAAACCCCGGCGGAGGGGTTGGACAGCGGCTGGGACGGCTGGAATAGGACTAGGAGAGATGACAGAGGGGACTTAGTGGCTTCCGGGCTGCACCGCAGAGGGTTCGGGACGGCCGCAACGCCGCCGGCGCCAAAGAAGCGCGGCGAGGCCACCGCGCAGCCTCAGTGCGCGCCGGCAAGCCGATTTGCCGGACCACTTCCGGCCAACTCAGCCAAGATGGCGGCCCCGAGGCCCCGCGAAGCCCCTCCTTTTACTGCTCCCGCTGGGGTGGGAGTGAGCGCAGCCTTCGCAGGATGCCAGGGCTGTGGAGGAGTGTGTCGCCAGCGCTGTTCTTTAGACTTGAAGGCTGGAGGGGGGTAACCAGGGCTTTTCTGAGGTTTCAGTGTACAAGGATGAAATAGGGATGGAGTTCCAGCCACGAACTTTCAGCAGGTGCTTATTTCTATGTGTGTATCTAAGATTTTGAGTAATTTACTGTAGCTTAGTGCGGAGTGCATGAAGGTGAAGGCTGAGATATAAGGCTGTGCGGGACAGTTAGTGACGGGCCTTGAACAGGATGCTACGGAGATTGAAATCTATTCTGAACACGATGGGAATTCATACTACAGGGGGATTTAAGCAAGGGAGTGTCCGGACCAGATCTGTATCTTTCCAGTCTCTCTGGTGGCAGTGTGGAGGATGGATTGGAGTAGGGCTGACCAAAAGCTGGGAATCCAGCTTGGAGTATTGGTATTATTATAGTGCAGAATAGGAACTGAGACTCGGCCTGTCTTGTTCATTGTTATATCCTCAGTGCCCAGAACAGTGCCTGGCACATAGAGGCACTCCATAAATATTGTAAAATGGATGACGAGGGGGTAAGGATAGCAGATTCTGGGGGGGGGGGGGTGTCAAAGAAGATGATAAAAGATATACTGAGGTACAGCTGGCAGAAATAGTAACTGATTGGAGGAAAGGGGAGTTTTGTTTTTCTTTTTACCTAATCAAACTTAACTAGTCCCATTACTTTTTGCTTACTCTACTCTGAGCTTTCTCCCACTACCAGTCTGTCTCTCTCCCTCTCTCCCTCCCTCTCTCCCTCCCTCTCCAACTCCTCCTCCTCTTTCTCCTCCTCCTCCCTCTTCTTCCTCTACTTCCTCCTCCCCTCCCCTCCCCTCCCGTCTCCTTTCCTCCTCTCTCCTCTCCCCCTCCCTTTTCTCTCCTCTCCACCTCCCTTTTCTCTCCTCTCCTCTCCTCCCCTCTCCCCCTCCCTTCTCCCCCTCCCCTCTCCCTCTTCCCTCCTCTCCACTCCTCTCCTCTTCTCTCCCTCCTTTCAAGGCTCAGCTTAAATGTCACCTTTCCAAAGCCTTAGTCTCCATGCATGGAAGTTATTTACTGCCATTTCTGAATCACCATAGCAATTTGTATTTGTTTAACACCCACTTGTATAGACCTTATTGTGCACTAGGCTCTGTTCTGTTGTTCAAATATTAATTTGTTTAATTCTCATTAAGGTAAGTACTATTATCACTATCCCCATTTTATAGATGTGTCTTTCCTATGGAATTTGCTATTTACTAGCTATGTAATCTTGGGCAAGTTACCTGAACTCTCCTTCCCTCCGTTGCCTTATGAGTGAAATGGGCATAATAGTAGAGAGAACATTGTGGAGATCATGTGAAGTAATGCGTGTAAACCATTTAACACAGTGCTTGGCACGTGGTGTTCAGTAATTGTTAGCTATTATTTATTGCATACTTTTAATGTGCTGATAATGTACTAATTTTTTACATGTATGAACTCATCTACTCATAACAGCCCTGCTAGATAAGTGGTATTATTATCCCCATTTTACAAGTGAAATAACACAAAAAGAGGGTAAGTAACTTCCCCAGCATCACATGACTGAGCCACTATTTCAATCATATAGTATGACTCCAGAGACCATGCTCTTAACCACTATATTAATAGATGTTAATTATTATCATTATTATTGACCATACTCTGTATAATAGTTATTTTTGTGCTTATTACCCTCCAAAACCAAACATCCTAAAAGCTAGGGCTATGTCCCTAACTCTTTTGAAGAGCCCCTCAGCGTCAGCACTCAGTATGTAATTGTCACTGAACAAATGATGAAAGGCTTTACTTTTTTCCAGAGGAAATAGCATTTATGTTAAGTAAATATATGACAGTTAGACTTTTTTTTTTGGCCACGGCACGCGGGATCTTTAGTTCCCTGACCGGAGATAGAACCCGTGCCCCCTGCAGTGGAAGCTAGGAGTCTTAACCACTGGATCACCAGGGAAGTCCCTAGACTTTTCTAGATGTAATCATGAACTCTTCATTTTTAAAAACTTCTGAAAGTATATACCCATTTATACTTTATGACTTAGAGAAGCTGAAAGTGTGTGAATGAAGCAGGAGGATGTTTATTATAGGTTAACTTGAGGCTGTTATTGGTTTCTATTGTGTAGAATATAAACAGAAACATTTTATGTACAATATAATTTAGTCCTCACAAATCCCTATTAGGAAGGTATTATTATTCTCATTTTACAAATGGGAAAATAGTCCCTGAGAGGTTAAACCACCTGTCCCCAACCACCCATCTGTTAAGTGCTAGACTGGAAATGAGGACCTAGATCTGTCTATTCTGAAAACTGTGCTCATGACCACCATGCTGGACTGCCTCGTTGTCAGTTTCTCCTGAAGGTAGAACCACTCCTACCTAAAAGGGCATCACTGGAGGTAAAATAGTCTACTTACATATGTTTCTCAGTTCAAGTATTGCTGAGGAGAGACAGAGGAGATAGATGCATGGAAAGGAGCATGCAGGAGATACATTGAATGGAAAGAATTTTGAGGGGCAAATTAGCAGTAATATGACTGGATTTTGAAAACTGAATCAATAATGTAATGCTACTCATCAAAAAAAAAAAAAGGAACAAACTACTGATACAACATGGATGAGTCTGGCTGACATTATGTTGAGTGAAAGAAGAAAGATACAAAAGATTATATACAATATGATTCCAGTTAATCTGATGTCCAAGACAGGTTTAGCTAATCTGTGGTGACAGAAATGAGAACAGTGGAGGCCTGGAGTGGGGTTGACTGGAAAGGGATATGCATGAACTTTCTTGGGGGGATGGCAATGTTATGTATCTTGGTTTGGGTGTAGATATACATTTGTCAAAACTTTTCAAACTGTACCCTTAATATCTGTGTATCTCATGGTATATAAATACCTTAAAAATTATAAAAATAAAGAAGTTTTAAAATTGAGGTATAATTGACAGATAACATTAGTTTCAGGTGTACAACACAGTGATTTGATATTCATATATATTGTGAAATGATCGCCACAATAAGTCTAGTGAATATCTGTCACCATACATAGTTACTAGATTTTTTTTCTTGTGATGAGAACTGTTAAGATCTATTCTCTTAGCAGCTTTCAAGCATGCAATACAATATAATTAACTATAGTCACCATGTAGAAAAGTTTCCAAAAATTAAATGAATAGGCCTTTAGGTATAGGAGGTGATGAGGGTATGAAAGGTGAATGGCTTTGCTTTGCCACTTGCCAACCCCTGGATGCTACAATGTTTTGTACTGAAAGGGACCTAGACAATCATTTGCCAGTTTTGATTGTGCCGACCTCACACTGGACAGGCAGACTTTTGAAACAATCCTTACCTAAGCTGTTAAAAGGGAGGAAATGTATATCTCTTTGGTAGGGGGTGCGGGGTAGCAGCAAAACAAAATTTGATGACTGTTCGACGGAAACCTTTCTGAAGGATGCTCCTTTGTAGCCTAGACTACAGTGTTTAAAAGCCTACAGTGCTTAGCACAGTTTAGTATGAGGAAAAGGATAAGGGAGTTACACTGGAAAAGCAGAACTGCAGGATGAGTTATCCTGGAAATGTCTGGCACCCTGTGGATGTAGAAAAGGTGCGTCCTAGAACAAAGCACTGAACCAGGTCAGAAGACCTGAGTTCTGGTGTCCCGACCCCTTCATTCGTTCTGTGACCTTGCACGGCATACTTAACCTCTCTGGGCCACTGTTTCCTCATCTTTAGGCCTGACAACCTTAGCTTTGCCAGTCCCCATAGTTGTTTTGAGATTCAAGTAGGATTATAAATGTAAACACACTTTTAAAATGCTCTACCATTGAGAAACAATTATAAAATGTTACAGATTTTTTTTTTTTTTCTCTAAGAGACCTGGTAGAAAAATCTCAGTAATGAATGTCACTGGCCTCTCATGCAGACATTTTGGAATGAGCTTACACATTCCTGGTTGAAAAAACTGTCTGGCCAAAAAAGATTAAATAAAGAAATGTCATGTCCTGACACTCCATCTAAGGCTAGTGAATGCTTTGGTGGGAAGCCAGAGTTATCTTGCTGGATTCCTTCTAAATTTGTCAATGGATTCCTCCAAGCTCCTGAGTGCCTTCTTCACACAGATGCTGAGTAACGTCTCACTCCAGATCTGAGTGAGCCCCAAACTGCATAGGTGCTTGTGTCTTCTCTGTTTCTCCTGACAGTTTTGATAGCCGTGCAGCTGATCCGGCTCAAAGAAGGGATCAGAGGAAGAGCTTTGTCCCACGTCCCTGGGCCGGGGGCAAAATGGAGCCCAGTTTTGTCACAGCAGAATGGGCAGAGTGTGAAGCCCTGGGTTCTGTATGTGTGGCTGGTATTGAAGCAGGATGGCCAGGCGGATGATTCGATCTGACTTGGGTAATGAAAATTGTTTGTTACTGTTTGAAGAGCAATTGTGTAAGCAACAGTACTCCTGTGTTTGGCTGCCTGTGACCCACCACTGTCTGTAACATAACACCCGACCCAGAGGAGGAACAGACCCTGGCCGGCAGGGGAGGGGAGAGATGCAGGGGGCACAGGGCCCCCTTCTCCCTCCCTCCTCCACTGTCCCACCCGCTCTGTAAACCTTGAAG